TTTAGTTCTTTATTTATTCAGTTAGTTATTTATTTAGTTATACATGTCTGATGCCAGTCACTCTCTGAAATGTCTTTTTTAAATGATCTTTCCCATTTTACTTTTAGATTAAATGAATCGTTCCTGTTGCATTTTTTAAAATATATTTGCATATTTTGGATACTGATTTATATGGCACCTGGTTAATGGAGTCAAGCATAATTTTTAGTAAGCTGATAAATGTTGTTTTACCTTATTGTCATAAAAATACATCAACTGCAAACACCAGAAGAAATCATTGTTTTGGATTTTTATTTTTTTTTGTTATTTTTTTTCAAAAGACTTAAAAGCATTACCATATGTCAGAGTGCATATTGCAGCATTACCTTTGTCTGTACACTTCAAAAAGGACTGGTCAATTTCTCCTGGTCTGAGGGTACCTATATACGAGGGCCACATCAGAAGACGACTATCCCCCTCCAGTCAATATTTTCCTACCATCTCAGTGTACACTGCCAATGTTTCTCTCATAGTGGTGCCATAAATAAATTTTAAATATCAGGAAAGAAAGCTGTCAGTGTCGGACCAATTCACCCGTGACCTGTGTTGAATTTTTGGTTCTTTTTTCGTTTTTACATAAGCTTATGCAAAAAAAGACTTTTGTAATTAATTCTAAGGCCGATAAACTTACTACGTACTTGAAATAAAGCAGAAACATTAGTGATTTCAGTAATTCACCAAGCTTCTTTTATCACTATCCTAAGGCATTTGCATGGATATATCCCCTCTTTAGAACGGAAACTCAATTACCCTTTAATCCTTTAGGAAAGCTGCGCAGACGGCAATTCTACTCCCAGCCACTGGAGAATGGCCGCGTTCTCACACAGGGCTCGACGTTCACCTATCAGGACGTTCTGGATCGGCTTCTGGTCTACACGCCTGAAACGGTCAACGGGGGAGTCGACGAAATGGGCTTCACTCTTACCGATGGCATTCACACTCACAGCGGCCGTCTGGAGTTCACCATGGATGTCAGGAAGAGTGAAGGACCTCGGATGACAGTTAACAGAGGCTTGCAGCTGCCTGCAGGTGAGACTCAGAAAGAAGAGGTTGGGTCATGTAAGCCTCTTTTCTCTGGGGAAAATTGGTGGCATTTTTGTTGTAAACATGTTCAGCAAATAATTAGAATGTGTGTGTTTTTTCCCCCCTGAAATCTTGGAAAAGTTTTGAAAAGATGATGACCTATTTCTGCATAGCAGAGCTAAATGCAAACTGTAGCTTGCCAAATCACAAGATTAATAAAGGAGGAAAATGTCCAAAAACATATAACAGCACTGTAGAAATGGATGCCTTAGTCTGTTGTATGTTTTAGGTTCGTCATCAAAGATCACAGAACAGAATCTGAAAGGCTCAGACATTGACTCAGACAACCTGAAGCTGCGGTATGTCCTCACCAAAGATCCCCCAGTGGGCAAACTCCAGCTCAGCAGGGAAAGCCGTCTGGAGAAGGTCTCTGTCGAAGGTCCCGTTCACAGCTTCACTCAGGAGGACGTCAACAAAGGTTCCAGCTTTGCTGCTATTTATTACTGCTACTGTTCTGTCGTTCATTTTGTTATAGCTGAACGTTTTGCTTAAAGAGAGCCGCATAAAGAACGGACCTGTGAAAGAAGAAAAATAAGAATCATGTGGTCATGTGAATTATTTATGCTCAGTAATGTACACATTCTGGACAGAAGATAGACAGTTTGTGAGGAGTAAAAGAAGCCAAGTTAAACAAACAAAAAAACTACTTTAAACAGACCAAAAGTCAGTCTTTCAAACACTTGAACAAACTGCAGATGATAATAACTCTCATGGTGGCCAGGGGTAAGAACCCTCTCCACTTATAAGCTGTAACAGAGGTATCTCGGCTGAGAGGTGAAACACCTTTAGGAACCAAAAATTTGTTTACTCATACAGCCATTTTTTAAAAACCGTCCAAGCTTTTTGTTTGACAGTCAGAATGCTATGGTGTAAACTGAGTCAAGTTGACGGAATCAGCAATTCATATTTCACTTCCAAGTAGTATTTATGTGGGCTGCAGTGTATGAATTAAATAGAAACTTTGTATCTGACAATTCTGTATTAATTTAAGTGATGTATATCCATTTATTCTCAGGATTACATGAGAAAAAAGTGGGTCCTATTATCCCACTCTCCCTTAATGTCATGCCATCAGAAATGTTAGGTTGCTCATCTTGAATAAAGACAGATATACTCCAGATTTACACATTTCTAAGAGATACAACACGAGAAAAGACTTAAAATGTAATTTTTTTATTCTTCCATCTTAGAAAAACACTCGCATCAAAATGGTTTATTTCTACTTTCAGTGACAAACAATGAATAAAAGCTTATAACAAATTTATAGTGAGGTAATTCAACATACTATCCTTCAAATTCAACCTTATGACTACATTAAAAGGAGGCGAGGGCACTAAAGGCCGCCACAGTGTTTTGTTTATAGCTCACACTTGCTCAGTAATGCAGCTTTAATCTACTAGCACTCGTTGATGTTTAACTTTCTTCAGCACAATTGTCGCCTGTCTTGCAGGTCTGCTGCAGTACAGCCATGAAAAAGGGGAGAAGGGAGGCAGTCGGTCTTTCAAATTCAACCTGGTTGATCCGGAGGGCAACAAACTGATTGACCAGTCCTTCTTCATCAGTGTGCTTGGTAGGGTTTCCTCCATCCTCTGTTACCTATAGCAAAAAAAAAAAGACTGAACTGTTTCCTCATCTGAGAAGACAAGGCAATTATAGCAGCTTATTCCCTTTGTCCCAATCTCCCATGGCATACCATGACCACCCTGAATACAAATTAGGCAGTCAGTTTTTACAAAAGCCATTGAAGCAATTTCTGAATAATGCAAATGCTCTGTAATATTATTTTAATCAACTTTAACAGATTGTAACCCTTCAATGGAAGGGTAATAATGCTTGGTTTTTTTGTAGCCCAATGATAATCATACTGATAATCCATCCATCCATTCTCCGCTTATCCTGGGTGGGTCGCGGGACCCCGCCACTTCTGCCAGCTCCTCCAGGGGGATCCCAAGGCATTCCCAGGCCAGCTGAGAGACATAGTCCCTCCAGTGTGTCCTTGGTCTTCCTCTGGGCCTCCTCCCAGTGGGATGTTCCCGAAACACGTCACCAGGGTTGCGACCAGAACGCATCCTAATCGGATGCCCGAGCCACCTGAAGTGGCTTCTCTCAACATGGAGGAGCAGCAGTCCTACTCTGAGCCCCTCAACCTATCTCTAAAGGAGAGCTCCGGCCACCCTGTGGATGAAAATCCATTTTGGCTACTTGTATCCATGATCTCGTTCTTTTGGTCACTACCCAAAGTTTAAGACCATAGATGAGGGTGGGAACGTAGATCAACAGATAAATCGAGTGCTTCACTTTTAAGCTCAGCTCTTTCTTCAACATGACAGACCTGAACAACACCTGTATTGCTTCTGACACTGCACCAATCCGCCTGTCAATCTCCCGCTCTATTTTACCCCCATTCCCTTCATTCACAAACAAGACCCCAACATACTTGAACTCTTCCACTTGGGGCTGGACATCCCCCCTGACCTGGAGGAGGCCCTCTACCCTTTTCCGGTGAGAGACCATAGTCTCGGATTTGGAGGCACTGATCCTCATCCCAGCCACTTCACACTCGGCTGCGCACCGCTCCAGCGAGAGCTGTAGATCACGACTTGATGAAGTCTGCGAATAAAAGAGATGCGATCCTAACCAAGACGGACACTATCAACACTTTGGCTGCAACTAGAAATTCTGTCCATTGAAGTTGTGAGCAGAATCAGAGACAAAGGGTAACCTTGGCGGAGTCTAACTTCCACCATAAATGAGTCCGACTTACTACCGGCGAGACGAACCAAGCTCTGACACCAATTATAGAGGGACCTAACAGCCCGTAACAAAGGGCCTGGTACCCCATACTCCCAAGGCACCACCCACAGGATTCCCCAAGGGCCATGGTCGAACGCCTTCTCCAAGTCCACAAAACACATGTGGACTGGTTGGGCGAACTCCCATGCATCCTCCAGGACCCCGCTGAGGGTATAGAGCTGCTCCAGCGTTCCACAGCCAGGACGAAAACCACACCACTCTTCCTGTATCCGAGGTTTGACTATCCGACAGACCCTCCTCTCCAATACAGCGGAATAGACCTTACCAGGGAGGCTTAAGAGTGTGATTCCCCTGTAATTGGACACATTCTGCGTCCCCCCTATTTAAATAGGGGGAACACCACCGCATTCCGCCATTTCCGCAGAACTGACCCTGATGTCCATGTGATATTAGTGCGCGTGCGCGAAAGCTGCAGGCTGCCTGTTACGTCGCTCCAACTTTTATGTTCGCTTTTTTATAACTTTCTTACTTTTTCGTCTTTCTGTTTGCTCCGTGGCCTCACGGTAACTCAGTGAGGTTCTGTCCTCTCTAACGAGGTATTTTTCAGCAAGTGACAAGCTCCAAATCGTACTTTTTTTTTAAAATAATGCCGCCTACAACGGGACACGCTGCGTTTGTTTACTCCGGGGAACAGCTGATCGCTCTGAAGCCGGCCGGCGCCGTGACCAGACCAGCTGATATACCACCAGAACTACGGAGGAAAACTCGCCGAGGTTGCAGAGGAGGAAAAAAACTATCGGGGGATGAAAGGAGGGTCGAGACAACAAGGGCTTATTGAGAGGAGAAGATTTAAGCATTGTCTCCCCTCTGTTATTATGGGCAACGTTCGTCTCTTGGCAACAAGATGGACGAGCTAACGGCTCTGACGCGGGGCCACCCAGAGTTCCGAGAGTGCAGTTTGATGTGCTTCACGGAGACGTGGCTGCACAGGGACATAACGGACCAGACTGTCTCCGTGGATGGCTTCCACACCATCCGGGCTGACCGGGATCCTAAGAGTGGCAAGCGGAAAGGAGGGGGACTTGCCATTCTAGTGAACAGCAGATGGTGTTACCCGGGTCATATAACTGTTAAGGAACAGCTCTGTAGCCCGGATGTGGAACTGCTTGCCGTTGGACTCCGTCCATACCATCTGCCCAGAGAGATCCCTCATGTCATCATTGCTGTCCTGTACATCCCTCCCTCTGCAAACCCAACATCTGCCTGCAGCATCATACACACCTCCATCTCCAAACTACAGACGCAACACCCCAATGCCCTCATCATCATGTCGGGAGACTTCAACCACGTCACCATAAACAGAGTTCTCCCGACCTTCAAGCAATATGTGAGCTGTCCAACCAGAGAGGAGAGGACCCTGGATCTGATGTATGCTAACATTAAGGACGCATACATCTCCTCTTCTCTCCCCCCTCTGGGCAGGTCTGATCACAACCTGGTCCACCTCACACCTTGCTATGTGCCTCTTGTGAAGAGGGTGCCAACGACCACAAGAACTGTGAGGAGGTGGTCGGAGGAGGCTTATGAGACACTGCAGGCCTGCTTTGAGTTGACAGACTGGACTGCACTTTGTGAGCCCCATGGGGAGGATATCGATCGGCTCACAGAGTGCGTCACGGACTATATCAACTTCTGTGTTGACTGCAATGTCCCAGCTTGGACCGTCACCTGCTATGCCAACAACAAACCATGGATCACTAAGAACATCAAGGCCATCCTTAATGAAAAGAAGAGGGCTTTCAGAGATGGCAACCGTGACGAGGTGAGGAGAGTACAGGGGGTACTCAAACTAAAAATTAAGGAGGCCAAGAACAAGTACAGGAGAAAGCTGGAGAATAAACTCCAGCATAACAACATGAGGGAGGTGTGGGGTGGCATGAGAACCATCACCGGGTTCCAGAAGACCGGCAACATGGGGTTGGATGGCCGAGTGGAACGAGCCAACGAATTGAACCTATTTTTCAATAGGTTTGATACTGAGGCCCATCCCCCACAAGCCTCTGCTGATGGTTTCCCAACGACGACCACTCCACCTGATGCCGATGGTTTCCCAACGACGACCACTCCTTCCCCCACTCCTCCTCCTTTCAGACGCCCTGTCTTCTCCTTACCACCTCATTCCACACCCACCTACTCCACCCTTCCCCCCTGCTCTGCATCATGTCCTCCACAACCTGAGGACTTAGCCCCTCCCACAACTGTCACCTCTTCAGTGTCCCTCACACCTGACCTGGTTCGTAGACAACTGACCAGACTCCACACCGGCAAAGCTGCAGGCCCTGATGGTGTATTTCCTGGGGTGCTTAAAGCTTGTGCCGCCCAGCTGTGTGGAGTCCTTGGTCTGGTCTTCAGCCTGAGCCTGCGCCTCCAGAGAGTCCCCGTGCTGTGGAAGACGTCCTGCCTCGTTCCTGTGCCTAAGACGCCGCGTCCTAACGGCCCTCAGGACTACAGACCGGTGGCACTGACGTCCCACATCATGAAGACCTTCGAGAGGCTAGTTCTGGAGCAGCTAAGGCCTATGGTCAGGCCCTTCATGGATCCACTACAGTTTGCCTACCAGCCCCGCCTATGAGTTGAGGACAGCATCATCTACCTGCTGAACATAGTCTACACTCATCTGGACAAGCCGGTGAGAACTGTGAGGATCATGTTCTTTGATTTCTCCAGTGCTTTCAACACCATCCGTCCGGCTCTACTGGGTGAGAAGATGACGGCGATGCAGGTGGATGCCCCCATCGTGTCCTGGATTGTTGACTATCTGACGGGCAGACCACAGTATGTACGCCTACAGAACTGTGTGTCTGACAGGGTGATCAGCAACACCGGGGCCCCTCAGGGGACTGTCCTCTCTCCATTCCTCTTCACCGTCTTCACCTCAGACTTCAGCCATTGCTCTGAGTCCTGCCATCTTCAGAAATTCTCTGATGACTCAGCGATAGTTGGCTGCATTGAAAGGGGAGATGAAGGTGAATATAGGACTGTGGTGGACAACTTTGTCACTTGGAGTAAACTTAACCATCTGCAGCTCAATGTGACAAAGACAAAGGAGCTGATAGTGGATCTGAGGAGGGCCAAAACACCTGTGACCCCTGTTTCCATCCAGGGGGTCCCTGTAGACACTGTAGAGGAGTATAAGTACCTGGGGGTGTACTTAAATAATAAACTGGACTGGACAAGAAACACCGAGGCAGTCTACAAAAAGGGCCAAAGCCGACTCTTCTTCCTGAGGAGGCTGAGGTCGTTTAACATCTGTCAGACGATGCTGAGGATGTTTTATGAGTCTGTTGTGGCCAGTGCGATCTTCTTTGCTGTCACATGCTGGGGCAGTGGGCTGAGGATCGCAGACAGCAACAGACTTAATAAACTGATCAGGAAGGCGGGTGATGTTGTAGGGGTGGAGCTGGACACTCTGTCAACCGTGGCAGAGAGGAGGATGCTGTCCAGGCTTAAGTCCATCATGGACAATGTGTCTCACCCCCTCTACGACACACTGGCCCAGCAGAGGAGCTCCTTCAGCAGAAGACTCCTCTCACCCAGATGCACCACAGAGCGCCACCGGAAATCCTTCTTGCCGGTGGTCATCAATCTGTACAACGCGTCAAACCTCTCATTTTGACCTACATATACACATATTGTTTCTTATGTATATATCTAGCTATATTTATGAGGAATTTTGTATATATATATGTATATATGTATAGACATGTACATACACTATATTGCCAAAAGTATTTGCTCACCTGCCTTGACTCACATATGAGCTTAAGTGACATCCCGTTCCTAATCCATAGGGTTCAATATGACGTCGGTCCACCCTTTGCAGCTAGAACAGCTTCAACTCTTCTGGGAAGGCTGTCCACAAGGTTTAGGAGTGTGTTTATGGGAATTTTTGACCATTCTTCCAGAAGCGCATTTGTGAGGTCGCACACTGATGTTGGACGAGAAGGCCTGGCTCTCAGTCTCCGCTCTAATTCATCCCAAAGGTGTTCTATCGGGTTGAGGTCAGGACTCTGTGCAGGCCAGTCAAGTTCATCCACACCAGACTCTGTCATCCATGTCTTTATGGACCTTGCTTTGTGCACTGGTGCACAGTCATGTTGGAAGAGGAAGGGGCCAGCTCCAAACTGTTCCCACAAAGTTGGGAGCATGGAATTGTCCAAAATGTCTTGGTATGCTGAAGCATTCAGAGTTCCTTTCACTGGAACTAAGGGGCCAAGCCCAGCTCCTGAAAAACAACCCCACACCATAATCCCCCCTCCACCAAACTTTACACTTGGCACAATGCAGTCAAACAAGTACCGTTCTCCTGGCAACCGCCAAACCCAGACCCGTCCATCAGATTGCCAGATGGAGAAGCGCGATTCGTCACTCCAGAGAACGCGTCTCCACTGCTCTAGAGTCCAGTGGCGGCGTGCTTTACACCACCGCATCCGACGCTTTGCATTGCACTTGGTGATGTATGGCTTGGATGCAGCTGCTCGACCATGGAAACCCATTCCATGAAGCTCTCTGCGCACTGTTCTTGAGCTAATCTGAAGGCCACGTGAAGTTTGGAGGTCTGTAGTGATTGACTCTGCAGAAAGTTGGCGACCTCTTCGCACTATGCGCGTCAGCATCCGCTGACCCCGCTCCGTCAGTTTACGTGGCCTACCACTTCGTGGCTGAGTTGCTGTCGTTCCCAAACACTTCCATTTTCTTATAATACAGCTGACAGTTGACTGTGGAATATTTAGGAGCGAGGAAATTTCACGACTGGATTTGTTGCACAGGTGGCATCCTATCACAGTTCCACGCTGGAATTCACTGAGCTCCTGAGAGCGACCCATTCTTTCACAAATGTTTGTAAAAACAGTCTGCATGCCTAGGTGCTTGAATTTATACACCTGTGGCCATGGAAGTGATTGGAACACCTGATTCCGATAATTTGGATGGGTGAGCAAATACTTTTGGCAATATAGTGTATGTATATGCCTGTGTTTTATTTTGCTTATGGAGCCTGTAACAAAAATAATTTCCCTCTGGGATTATTAAAGTATTTCTGATTCTGATATTGAAGAGTCATGTCAGCTGGCGCAACCCTACAACATCCGGAGCCTTGAGGAATGCCATGAAGCCGTACAGAAGTCTTTTTCCATGGCCTCCCCAAACTTTTTCCATACCCGAGTTTTTGCCTCTGCAACGATCAAAGCTGCATGCCGATTGGGTGGTTGCCCATACTGTTAATAGTAATAATAATAATAATGATGATGAGAATAATGATAATTTTGATAATAATAGTAAAAAGTAGTAGCAGTAAAAAGACAGTTGTAAAGTTGCATAAACTTGCATATCTACAAACATAGTAAAAATCACATATAAGAAGACCCGCAGAAAAAATTAAACCTACAACTGGATAAAACAGGTAACAATAACAAATATAAAAAGACTAGTTCATGGAAATTAGTTTGAACCTATGATTTGAAATAAACCAGTAGATGCAGTATAATGGGGAAAAAAGCTGCCTAAAAAGTTTTAGTGCTACAAGCTCAACAGCATGGTCACCTCTTGATTTAAGATAGTGACAAATAAATGCTGTCATTCAACAGTTTAAGAGGGCAACCACTGAAGTAGGATCTCACTTACTTTTCCATACATACGAAGAATTATAAGTAAATAGTTACTTTTCAGAATCAATCCTGATTATGCAAACATTCGGTGAAACAGTTCATGTTTGTCGCTGTACCTGGATCAATGAACAACCGAATACTATGGATTTTCCAACCCCTAAATGTAGTTACAGAAATGTAATGTATGGAAATAGAATTTCTGAGTTTAGTAAAAATAAGTTTAAACAAATAAATAAAACACAGAGCTTATTACAGGAGGCATCTTTTTAACAGTTTCAATTAGAAAAACCTCCCTTTTTAGTTGGTTGTTCATCAGGTGAAATTCAAATGTGGTGAGTCGGTTAACCCAATTCCTCAATTGACGTCATAGTTTGTGATCTTTTCTGTGAAGTGCTGTATCTGAATTAGAATAGCACCTAAAAGCCCACAGCCTTTATGGAATAATGAAGCTCAAATAACATAAATGTCAGAATTGTTTTATAGAAAAGGTGAAATGTAGTGTTATCTTTCAGAAAGGACAGCTTTTAAAAAAAAATGTCTGCTGAATATTTGATCCGCTTGCAGGGAAAAAAACAGAATCTCTTGTTAAAAATAAAGTTATTTTATAGGAGAATAGAAAAAAATACGAAATACACTTTTCTATAAAAAGTGTCAACTAAAGATCACTATTAAAGGGATGAAAGTACAAAAGAAAAACAAAAAAGCACTCTGAATTGAAACATATCTGCGAAAATTTAAAACGATTAACTGGTGTCTTCTCCAGGACACTAGTAATTGTTTTTATTATTTTTGTTTTTTTAACAGTAATGATATATTGACTCCTGACATGTTGTTTTCCATTTGGATGACTTGTTTTCCAGTAACTCTGCCCACAACAAACAGGTTTTGCAAATCTGCTCCCAGCAGATTTGCTTCCGCTTGGCACTGACTCGCATATTTTCTGCTCCAGAGGACCGTCTCCCTCCTTCGGTGGTGGTAAACAAAGGCCTGGTGCTAGATGAAAACTCAATGAAGAAGCTCACCACACTGCACCTGTCAGCCAGTGATCAGGACAGCGAGCCAGGCGAGCTCATCTATCGGATCACCAAACAGACAAGCCTGGGGCACATCGAGCATGCCACCAATCCAGGTAGAATTCAGTAGAAGTGAGACAATCAGCACCTCCAAAAATGTATCAAAGGTCTGAGGTGCACATGAAGAAGCAAAACAGATTGACTGTGTGTAAAGTCATTTACATGACATTACTGTTAGTAAAGAACAATTATTGTATTTGAATACTTTTTTTGTATTTATAAATATTTGAACATTTTGGGGCATTTGTAAAGTCTTGGCCATTTTAACAAAACTATTGCAAAACTCAACTCCATTATATTCCCAAAGTAAACATTCATACTTTTCTACCATAAGCAGGCATAAACTCATTTTGGAAAATCTAAAACTGAGCCAGCTTTACTCAGAAAAAAAAATCAGTTACGTTTTTAATTATTTTAATTATTTATCTATTTATTTAATTATTCTTTATTTAATTTTGTTTTAATTTGTTTTTTGTTTTTTTAGTACAACACATTTAAGTGATGGAAATACCTTTATTTATTAAATAACTTTATTATTTAATACATCATTTAACCAGCCATCATGCTGCAAAATGAGCCCCAAAATATACACTGATATATATGTAAAAACAATCAGAATCTCTTAACTCCTCCCTGTCATCACATCTGTTTTCGTGAAGTAAAAAGAAAGCAAAAAAGTTCTATAAGAAATGACCCTGTTATAAAAAGGAAAGCTAATGCATTTTCAGATCATAAGGAGTTAATTATTAGCCTCTGTACTCTTGAGGCTTTCAGCCCCAGCTGAATGGATGCTTCACCGACTTGAATGAACGGACAGAATTCTAATTAGCTGGTGGTTGCTCCCCAACGTTTAAGCAACACTTCACCTCAGAGCGAAAAAGCAGTTCTGGATAGTCACTGCTTGCCTGACTGTGAATCTGCCATTTTCATGCTAACGCACCTATTTAACTTGGACAGAATTAGACAATGGGCACTTTGTAGCCCCAATTTGTCTTCACAGCTCACTGAGATAGAGACCCCTTTTCCAAGTGATGTGTGTGTTAAAATATGTGTTGCTGCAGCTTTTCCAAAAGCACCAAAATGCAATGGAGGAATGCAAACTTGGAAGCAATTGTTATCTGAAAAATAACAATGGAAAAAAAAAAAAATGGCTGATGTGCTGGGCTAAAGTTCTGTAGAAACTCTATTTTCTTTGCTGTTTGAACCATTACCTATACATTTGTTTGTCAACTAAGTGCAGCTTTTCCCAAAAAAGAGGATACTGTGCCTCTTTCTTCTTGCAAAGATCTTAAACACCAATAGGTCTGATCACAATACATGTTTCGATGGTGTTATGGCATAGCACAGATGCCTCCAAACTCAGAGATCTCGAAGTCACCTTTTGACAACTTTAGCATGAGGCTTCTTTGAAAAAGCAGTGACATATGTAAAACCCCTACTCAGGACTGAACTGCTTGACAAAACCTACAACCAGTAATCTCTCATCCTTGTGGTCAAAGCCTTGTAATAATGCATGCAAAGCATTGAAATATGTCATATACTATTGCATATATATGCAAATCCCTTAGAGCGTTGTTTAAGGAACATAATTTTCAAACAAATTAATAATTTTCCCACATACTTGTTGACAAGCTGTGGATGTCATGTCTATATCTGCTCTCAATGACTTGGCCTGTTATGGATAGTGCTTTTTTTAACAAATCATGAGTAAAATCACCTCCTGATATCCCAATTTTTCTAATTACTTCGGTCAGAATTGTATTTAAAATGTACCAAAGTAGAGGGATTTCTTTATGTAAAAAAATAAGGGAAGTTGACCAAAGAAAGCATAGTGGCTGGATCATTTCTTATTATCAAAATCAGAAGGAAAGAAACAGCAGGAAGGACCTCTTGCAAATTGCTGACTTTGTAGACGTCCGACTCAATTGACTTCACACTGAAATGAGCTGCAATAAAGAGCAGGCAGTGCTTGTTAAGTTTGGTTTCAGCCTGTTTGTGTCTTTGAACAACATGCTAACCAGCCACAATAGTATAATACATCACAGAATAGTGATGCTGCATCCTACCCTTACTTTTTGTGTTTGTACCAGCAAGTCTGACCAATTATGTATGATTAAAGACGCGGCATTCCCTACTATTTCCACTTCAAACTAATTGAGGGGAAGATTTATGAGGCGTCGTGCTGCCATTTTTTTTGTTATTAGTATTTGAGAACAGGTTGTCTATGGTTCATGCTCACACATCATGTTTTTTTTTCAACTCTGCCTTCACTAGGCTTCTTAAAGAGTACATGGTGATATGACAAATAGAACATGTCACCACAGCTATCTAAAATAGTGAACTCCTCCGTATCTAACTGCATAGCTATTACCTATCAAGTATTTCAAACTTGGATTAACATATTTTTTTCCTGTACAGCCTACTTTATTTGATCACTTGTATGTAAGTCACTATGTGTGTAAGTTAGCAGAAGCCTTGTGACAAATCCTCAACAAACATCTTAGCAATGGTAACCCAAGCGTCAGGTGATAAAAACCCTACCTTGAAACATCAAAAACGTGTCACACTGCAAAAAGAAATGGAAACAAACTAACAGCTGTTTCACATAAACATATTCAGAGGCACTACATGAAACAGATTATATCAAAGTTGATGTGCAACAGATCCTTTGAATCAAGGCCAAAGTAAAAATTCATCACTCTTTATAGGTGCTCCTCACCTATTTTCTTCTGAGTGCTCTCGTTTATTGCACACTCAGGTTCACCTAAGTGGCTTGATCCTTCTTGTCACTCCTTTATTGTTATCCTCTGAAACTATTTTCTTCAGATAAAGTCCTTCTGTGTGCTCAGGACTTACATAGTTGTTAATAACTGTTATAACTACACATTTTTGTACTGATGCAGTTGATTTAGTTGTAAGCTATGTATGTATGGTGACTATGTGTGTAAGTGGTACTTCTGCTAGACTCTGCAACCATGTGGAATGTGCAGGTACAATATAACATGACATATTCACTGTCGACTATGACAAAAAAAAGCGTACTCTCTATTTCACCGTGTTTGTGCTTTTAGATTTAAGTACAAATATCCTTATATGTTTTCAAAGCTCGCTCAGCCTTTTTCTGTGGGTGTGTGAAGATACCTCTTGCAATTTTTCCTTTATGGATTACTAAAAAAACTAAATTCCAGTGTCATATATGATACTGATGGAACCACTACCCTTTGGATGTACATTAGTTTTTTTAACTTATCAACAAGGCTACTATAGATCACTTCCCAGCTTTGATAATTCAAATATATATGAAATTACTATATATGTAATCATAATAAAAGTCAAATTGTGCAGTAAAACTGTAGTCATGTGTTTGGATGACTATTTTATAAATTATAAGTGAGTAATTAAAAAAGTTTATTCAATTATTGTTACAGCTCCACAGAAAGCTTTATTTGAGCTGATCTCTATAGCTTACTGAGATTGCTTTTTTAAAAATTTGGTACATAAATAAAGCTGAACTTGGGTGAAATATCTTACCTGCTGGGGCCATTTAATGTGTATTGATCTGACGGGTCATTTGTAATAACACAAAAAATGTTAATCAACATTGAACCTGACACTATTGTCTTGTTTTATTTTGTTTTGTTTTTTTGTTACATAGCAATACAAAAGCAACAAATTGCCAGTCTTTTCATATGTCCAAGTTATATCACATGAAATGGATTCATTCAAACAACTACATCTTCTCCTTTCAAATAAATAATTACAATTTTTATTTGAGTTATCCAGCCAAAAAACAACATGCATCGTTTTAAAAGATTCAGCAATTCTGAAAGTTAAGATGGAAAACAGCTGTCAACAAAATTCCAAATCCGAACTAAACGAACATGTTTTTTTTCTGTGTAAAAAAAAAAAATTCTGAACAAGCAACTCTGTTTCTCTTTAAGGTGTCAGAATCAATTCATTCACCCAGGCCGACCTGGCATCACGCAGCATTCAGTATGTCCATTCCAGCGAAGAAGAGAAGCATGCTGACCAGTTCTCCTTCACCGTGTCGGATGGGACAAATGAGGTAAATGAGAGGGTTGAACTGAAGAGTCCAAAGTGCTTACAGTAGGAGATGTGTGCTGGAAGACCTGTGAGAGACATTATGCAACCTAGCAGTTCCCAAACTTTTTTGTTTCATTAATTAGAATTTAAAATATTTCAGTTTGGGGGCTTCATGGGCAGCAGAAATAAAAATACTTTTAGTCCTTGCTCTGTATTTGAACCACACAGCAGTCCACAGAATGATAAGCTTGGAAAAAAAAAATTGTAAGTTACATAGTATTCAATTGTGGTTGCTCAAAGGCCAGTGACTACATTTCTTTGTGTATAAGTGTATACGACAGTTTTTCTTCCGTTTAGACTTTTGCCATAGAGAAAACTCAACCTCTTTTTATCAATGGTAATGAAAACTCCCACCTGTTTTTGTCAGGTTTCCTGCATTTATTTTAAAGTTCCATACAAGAATATATATATATAACCCCCCTTATCCTGCTTAATATTTTTTCACTGTTGGCAAAAGACTGTTGCCATTAACAAATTCACATAGTCTGCAGTATTTAGATGTGTTGGATGTAAAAGGTCAAACAGCTAAAAACTGCACAATGGAGATAACTAGCTAGTTGTCTAGCCTTCACAATCTGTTGTCAAAGCGGGTTATATCTTTACTCTCACCTACACATGGCTTCAGGAAGTATCTGTTCACCTCTTACTTAACCCTTTCAAATTTAATCCAAGAAAATATGTCGTTTTTTTTTGTCTGAAGTCTTTTTTTGGCCCTTCAACGAGATATGAAAAAACTAAAATAATTTATGACTATTAATCAGGCTGTACAACAAATGATTAAAACAGAATCATTGTTGTGTAGTTTTCTGCCCACTGTTATCAGGTCTATCTCATTTTGAAATACAGGGTTTTACCAAAGTTTTTCCAATAAATTATGCAAAAGATTATATTATTATTATCATAATTGCTATTATTATTATATCAAATATGATACACATGGTATTATAGGCTTAATAGGTCTTAGTTTGTGGCAAGTTAGTGTGATACACCTCTCCTCTCATTGTTGTCATTGATTCAGCTAAATTAAATCAAAGAGTTTTCTAGAGTCGCTATCAAGTCTTTCTTCGTCCCTTTTAGCTTATTAAATCACCTCATGCATAAAATTCTGTTTCTGATCACAACTAATGAAGATCACAAGGACTTGAGTGAACATGTAAAAGAGGTGATTTTGCCCTCATGCTTGGTTTTGGGCAGTTTAGAGGATGATGTATATGAAGAGCTCCTGGTTTTGTTTATTCACTCCAACTGGGAGTTCTGCTGAGTTTCCTGTCTTTTAAATGGATTTTGATCAATACTAAAACAGAACTAGACCAAAATTCTAAAAGGTATATCAGGAGGAAGTTTCTCTTGCATTTGCAGGTTTGGATGTTTGGGTTATTTCTGTGTAAGGTTAACAAGTATTTTAATATGGAAATGTTATTCCATTAGCTTTTTATCCACCTGGTAACACAGGTGTGAATTTTGAGTTGCATGCTGATTTACATTTTTACTATTAGCCACAGTGGAAAAAAAAGGCATTTTTCTACATTGAATGCATAAATATGTCATCTTTAAAATGGAAGAATTGCAAATTACCATGAAAGTATTTCACCTAAAAAATAGAAAACAACATTAAAAATACTTGCAATGCCATTCACAAACAAAGCATTCAAACCCACTCAGGATTAAGCTCAGTTATCCACAGATGTGTCATGAAAAGCACGAGGGAAAATACAAAAGACAAGCAAATTCAAGCCTAAGGTCATAAAGTCAGACTCAAAAACATCCCATTAACTCCCAGGGTTCATACTTTTAAACTACTGTCCACAGACAGTAGTGTCTTCTATGATTAATTTGTCTGTCTGGCAATTCTGACACCATTTATTAATCGGTTTAATTCTGTGGAGCCTTCTTTGACTACGATAACGATTGTGATTCTTGCAGACTCTCACATTTTTAATTTTAACAGAAGAAGCTGAATGCAACAGCTTCAGTGTCCACCCTGAGCAAAAAATGAGTGCATCAACAGAAACAGATGAAAGGCAGCGCCTCCTCTTTGAAAAATGGAAACTATTTTCAGTCCTTCATATAATCAGAAGGTGCATTTTGGGCAAGAGTGGGCTTGTAGATGCCATTTATCCCTTTTACTGGGCTACAAACTACTATTCCTTGATCTCCTTAAAATTAAAAACTACAAACAGAAAGGCATGTGGAGAGGAGGAAAATTTGGGCCCTCAGGTACAATTCTGATTAACAAAAAGATGAAATGCAAAAGAAAAAAACAGTAAATGAATAATACAAATCACTGTCTGTTTTCAGGTTGCTCAGACTTTCTACATCACCATCAAGCCGGTGGACGATTCCCTGCCTCTGCTTCATGTCCCTGGGATGAGGGTCCAGGAGGGAGTGAGGAAGACCATCACTGTATTTGAGTTGAAAGCCACTGATGCTGACACTGAGGTAGAACACAATCTATAGGCCTAAACCTAGAACCTTCCCTAGGACAGTGTTGAAACAGTCAATCTTATGCGTTTACGTGAATTTGGATGTGAATACGTGTGTATACCTCTGGCAAGATGCTCTGAATTAATCATTTTAAGAACACTTCACTTTCAAACGACGTTGATTCATTCAGCCTTTTCGTTGTATTCCCTCCTCTGAATCACGGCCACCTACAGGCAGAATCCATCACCTTCACCATCGTCCAGCCTCCTCGCCACGGCACTATCGAGCGCACCAACAACGGCCAGTACTACAGGCAGACAAGCAGCTTCACCATGGACGACATCTACCAGAACCGCATCAGCTACAACCACGATGGGTCCAACTCGCTAAAAGACCGCTTCACCTTCACAGTGGCCGACGGCACCAACCTGCTCTTCATGGTGGAGGAGGTCGGCAAAGAGGTATGTGGCCTTATATGTGTGGTAAAAGGCATTTCGAAAGGTGCATTTGAGGCAGCTCCTTGACATTTTTACTGCATCTGGATGATTGAGATAGAGGAGACGGGGTATGTCTCGGTGGGTGTATATGTGGTGTATGTGCTCTGACCTTAATATGACGGGAGCAGTCAACTCAGCACTTTATTTTGTGTGTACGTTCTTGTCTTTGTGAAGCCACACCAAAGAGGGACACCTTATTAAAGTTCAGACAACTGAGAGAGTGGAAAAGTTTGGGAAATGAAGGACATTTATTTTAAAATGGGAGAACACTCCAATACTTGATGTTTACAGAAAGTAGATCTTTGAAAGAAAACAATAAATTGCCATCACTGAGCAGAAGTATGAAGTCACAATGTCAGATTACATAATTTAACATGTTACTGCCCTTGTAAAGCTTTGATTAGATGCCCTATGTCTACGTCCTCAGGAGTAGATAAACATAAACATCAATATCTGTGTTATGGTACTCCAAGGGTTAATTGACTCCTCTGATTGTCTTTTGCACCATTCCGTTCCGACAGCCTCGACTCATCATTACTAATGGTTCATATGATGTAACTGAGCTACAGCATGAAGGTATTGATATTTTCAATCACGCGCCTCTCAGGCCTGTGTTTATTACCTTTTCATCATCTTGGGACATTTGGCTCCAGTATTACTTACGTTGTGCAGCGAGGAAGGTTCCCTGCCAATGTTTGAGTGAATTTGTTCCGACTGGTCCTGCCCTCTTATTAAATAATGTATAATTTGTGTTTGAATTGTAAATAAAAGAATGCCTTGGTGATACATGTCAGTGTTGATAGTGCTGTCAATGCTTTTTTGTGTTTATGTTTGTTCAAATTATTGGGATTCAGTTTCAGTGAAAGATTTAGTGAGTTTTTACAGTATTCTTACGGTACAGACCAGCAAAAGTGTAGTCCAACTTCCTTGTTCTTCACCCAAAATAAAAAATAATCTAAAGCAATGCTTTTATTTGTACATGTAGGTTATGCAAATGTATAAATCAAGTACCAAGTACTGCATGTGTGAAATGGAGCTTGAACGGAGTATGTTTGAAAACAGACTGAGTTACCTTTTGAGAGGTAAAACATACGTAAAGGTTTTTTAGAATTAGAAGGCCCAAAATCTACACAAACCAGATTGATTCTCTTTTAAACATTTCTTAAAATCTTCTTGAAACACCTTAAAAACACCTGTTGGAAACCTAAAATCCCCCAAATACGATAGGAATGCACAGTATAAAAACTGCCATTAGTTCAGTGAATATTAAGGCGTGTTCAACAAAGACCAAATAAACTAAATTATACATTTTTAAGTTTAAGAGGCTTTCACCATATATATATATATATATATATATATATATATATATATTATTTTTACTGTTTTGTTTTTCTAGGTTGTGACAGCTGCTCCTCAAAAGTTTAAGATTGATATTCTCCCAGTTGATGATGGAACGCCACGCATTGTCACTAACCTGGGACTGCAGTGGCTGGAATACATGGACAATAAGGTATACGTCTGTCTTTTCTTAGAACAAAACCAAATAAACTTTGTTGAAATTCTTTCTGATATTATACAAGTTTCAGAGAACACGTGAGTGATTTTTGTTTAACCTACATTGTAACAGTTGATAAGTGAAAGGCCTTTAGGTGGACACATTTATGGACAGAACTTCTATGGACTGCAAGGCACTGAGGGGATCCGGTTTGGTGGCGTCAGGACTGGGTCTCTGATTTTTGCAGATTAAGTAGTTCTGTTGGCTTCATTGTGCCGACTGCAGTTCGCAGTAGGGTGTGACGCAGTTGGAATAAGAATCAGCAAGTCGAAATCCAAAACCATGGACCTTTGTCCAGAAAAGAGTGGAGTGTCCGCTTCGGTTTGGGAATGAGGTATTGCCCCAGGCGGAGGAGTTCAAGTATCTCAAGGTCTTGTTCAAGAGCGAGGGTATGGAACAAGGGATCGACAGGCCGATCAGTTCCAATCTCTTGCTCCTTACGATCTACGTTTCTACCCTCCCCTATGGGCACGAGATTGCGGATGCAAGAGGCCAGAATGAGTTTCCTCCATTGGGTGGCTGACTCCTCCTTAGAGATGGGGTGAGAAGTTTGGTCAACCAGGAGGAGCTCAAGGTAGAGAAAACTACCTTGACTGATCTTCCAAATCTAGAGGAGCCAGATGAGCTGGCTTGTGCATCTGATGAGGATGCCTCCAGGACAGCTCCCTGGCGAGTTGTTCCAGGCACGTCCCGCCGGGAGCAGACCCCAGGAATGCCAGGAAATCCACCGGCATGAGCTTGGTGATCCCCCGGAGTAAGCTGGTAGATGTGGCCGGGGAGCGGAAAGTCTGAGCTTCCCTCCTTCGGCTGCTGCTCTTTCGAGCCGACCGGCGGAAGAAGATTAATGAATGTGTGAGCAGAAAGCTGGGAGGCTCTAAAGATTTTTGTGTGCTCTGCCATCTCTGATAAAATTAAGTCTTTAAAAGTGATTTCACCAGTTCCCACAGCTCTCTGGATATTTACCATATGAGATATAATTTTTATTTGCATTTTTCTGCAAGCAAAGAGAGCTAATAGAGAACCTGTGTTACAGATGATGTGGTCAAGTATTTGTTTTAGTAGACACAGTAAAAATGTCTCTTTGTACATTTTACGTAAGTAGGTGCTGTGTTTCCACCAATGGTAATTAAGTTCTGAGTGTTTTATCACTGAGGCAAATGATCAAACTGCCTCCTCATCAATTGGTGGGGAGAAAGTACTAACAGACTATAAATGTCTAACTGTGGACACACGCTCTGGTAATTTGAGTAATCCGTGATGCGTTTCTTAGGCCACCAACCTCATCACCAAAAAGGAGCTGCTGACGGTGGACCCGGACACAGATGACAGACAACTGGTGTATGAAATCACCACCGAACCCAAGCACGGCTTCTTGGAGAGCCAGCTGAAACCAGGAGGCTCCATCACGGCATTCACACAAGGTACACACTATCTGACGCTATAGACTTTATGCCTTTTCTGCTCAGGTAAAGTCTATGAATTGGTTTACCACAAAACATCTTAAAAGATGGAACATCTCTCAAGGTTTATTCCTAAATTGTCAAATGATTATAATCAATTTATTTTTTGTGTACGCATCTGTTGCCTTAATGCCTACTGAAGGTATCTTGTTATTGGTACACAGCTTGTGGAGATCTGTGATTTGTTTTTTGTTTTTTTTCATGATGAAAACCAGAAAAAAACTCAGTCTTAATACTGTAGAAGGCCCTCCAACCCATTTATTGCCATTATCGATTCAAAAAGTCACTCAGTGGAAATGCTAAAGTTGTCATTTTATTCATTTCTTTACATTTATGTATTCTTCTCCCTTTTATAATGTGAAAGACACATCTTGTATAGTATAGTCCCATACAATGTTTCATGCAAAATATTAAATAAGCTGAACAAGTTATTTTATGTTCAGAATCTCATTTGACACGCCCCCTGTTTTTAGATGATTCATAGACCTCATTTGTTCTAGTTTTTAAAAGGGGACTGTTGTTTGTAGCGATGGTGCTTGGCCCAAAATGCAGATATCAGACGTTGGGGAAGGAGAAAAATACAGTTTATTTGAGACTGAGGGGAATGGTGAGATAGAGGTGGCGCCTCCGGACGCAGGGGCAGGTATTTGAGGCCGGCAGGTTCACGAGGGGTTGCTGCTGTAGATGAGGGAAGTGGAAACTAGGGCGAACACACAGGAAGTGAGCTTCTAAATAATACTTCAGAAGATGATGGGTCTCAGGTGTGCATCCAGCTCTCCCAAAACCACACCTACAGTCTCATACACCACAGGGACTATTGTGTTTCCCCTTTAATCCTATGAATTATTAAATTGAATTTAAAGTAAGCACAGTACTTTTTACATCCAGTTTGTAACAAGCCATCAGTTCACAGAAGTACAGTATATCCAGTTTGATATAGCATCACTGCCCTATTCTGTTCAGAGTCAGGTTTATTGACCAAGTATTTTTACATACAAGGAATTTTATGTGGTTGTGGTGCAGAGCATGCATCGTATACATAGAACTAGAACATGCTGTTTTTTTTCTCACAGCTATGAGAATGCCTATTGCTGTACGGAGGCGCCAGAAGGTGCCCAAGGAAAACAACAAAAAGACAAATGCTTAGAAACTTAAGAGCACATTGAAATGTGTCTAGAAGTCAACAACAATAAGAAGCATCCTTTAAAGTTAACCTGGAGGGTGGGAGAAGAATGGCAAAAGCATTAGAACTAATAGGAACTAAATTGAAAAGTAGTTAAAGAAATGGGGAGCAGCAAACAAAAGTGTCAACATAAAAAAAACTGATACTAGAAAGGGTTTGAAGAACTTTAACAGAAAAAGAACAAACCGCTTAAGACAATCAGAGAGATCAAACTTCTTCTGTCAAATGTTAAACAAATCACTAGAACTTAATAGGAAACACTGAAAGGTGCTAAATTGTAATTGTGGATTTCTCAAATACACAAAAGTGAGAAAAAGAGAAATAAAGACGGAGGAGTGGTTGGCAATGATCAGAATTAAGCTTATGATGAGTCATTCAGTCTATCTAAATCACAGAAGTGGAGTTCAGATGTTGAAATAGAGGTTTGGCACAGAGCTGGACTGTTTGTTTGTGTGGTTGTGCATTAAATATACAGTATGTATTCCTGTGTGTTTCTATATGCTGGCTGCATGTGTGTGTGGGAATGAAAAATCAGAACAGAGCAATCATTAGTTGTCATGGTGACGGCCACAGGTGACCTCACTAACTTTTTTAGTTCTGCTCTATGCTGGTTTAACAGGCAAAAGTTCCCTCCACATTCTGACCTCCTGAGCCTTTAACTTGTAGAGGCTATTTACAAGGGAAGACCAAGCTTTCCTCCTAAATCTACTTGCATCTCCCAATCTTAGGAATCCTCTAAGGTGCCTTGCCTAATTACTGTCTTTCTAACTTTATCCCCTTTTTGAACAAACTAAATTGCCACATTCTTTGCACAGACCTCCTTAATGAACCTGTCTTTGCTTGTCTTCAATACCTGCAGCTTGGCTTCTTAATATTTGGTTATGTCTCCACAAATACTGGTCTTGTGACTGAATAACCGTAAAGCCTGGCAAAATATTCCTCAGAGCAGCAGTACTTGAACAACATTAACATTGTTGGTCTCCATTTACCCAGAGTTTTAGATTCTGTGGAGTGGGCAATACATCATATGTTGCCCCTATTATAGACCTATTCCTACTTTCCTCCCACTCACATTTCTTTCTAAATAAGCTTTTTTCTCTCAATATCGTCCCAGTTCAAGTACTGTCCCTGCCTCGCATGAACCACTCTTAATACCCCTTAACATTTCCTCCTGCCTACAAACCTGCTCCAAAACAAGCTTTCTATTCTCTTTGGGACCAGCTCCACTCCACACAGCTTTGCCTGGGCTAAGCCCATTACCCACATAACCCACTATCTCTGTATGCCTAAAGCTTGCTTCTGCCTCCTGAACTGCAATTCTTAAGAGTCCATCCCCCCACATTCCCCCTCATTAACCTAGGAAACAATCCAAACTGCAGATACAGCATCTTCAACTCTCTCGGAAGCCCTGATGTATCCTGCTCTATCCAGTCCTACATTTCAGCAACATTTCTCTGAAACTGCATTACCTGCTTTTAATCATTCAAGTCGGCCTGGTACCACCTACCTAAACTCTTGACTGACTTTTCCCTAATGGCTGTAACTCTGTGCTCATCTATTACAATTTCTCTATCATCTACTTTCCCTTGAGGTGTGCCAGCTTCTGTGGTCTTTGATTTATTATGCCCACCCGGAAAGTAGCATAACATGGAAAGAAATAGCTGATCATCTGGTTCTTTTCCAGCTGATATCAATCTGGGCTTTATCCGCTACGTGCTGCATCAGGAAAACATCCAGGAGACAATGGATAACTTCAAGTTCCTGGTCAAAGACAGCAAACCAAACGTGGTCAGCGACAACGTCTTCCACATCCAGTGGTCTCTCATCAGCTTCGAGCACAAGAGGTTTGTGAGAATAAGAAAAAAATTACATTACACATCCCATTACTGCAAAGAAAACATCTCACATCTCAAACTTTTCTGTTGACTCCTCAGCTACAACGTGAGCGAGAAGGCTGGAACAGTAGCTGTGACAGTGAAACGAACTGGTAACCTTAACCAATATGCCATTGTGCTCTGCCGTACCGAACATGGCAGCGCCATGTCCACCAGCAGCACTGGCTCTCGTCCTGGCCAGCAGGACTACGTGGAGTATGCCGGACAGGTAAGCAAGCTTTCGAGAGAGGCTCACACTCATGTTCTCACGAGCACCATCTTGAACAGTTTCCCATACCGTGTTCTCCAGGTACAGTTTGACGAGCGTGAGGACACCAAGGTCTGCACGATAGTAATTAACGACGACAAAGTGTTTGAGGCGATCGAGAGCTTTCACGTGGAGCTGAGCATGCCTGTGTATGCGCTGCTGGGCGGAATTACACGCACCATTGTCAACATCAATGACACCGAGGATGAGCCGACTCTGCAGTTTGATAAAAAGAACTACCACGTCAATGAAAGCAGCGGCCTCTTCTACGCCCCTGTCGAGAGAAAAGGTACGACATCCCATGTAGACCACTGTAAGGGCAGTCTGAGTCTATTCATGGATGAGAATCAGTGTGAATGATCAACCAAAACGGATTTCAGTGTTTGAATTGACTTTAGTCTATTCATGTTTGTAAAATAACTCTTTCCCCAATGACAGTTGGGGTTGACTGCAGCTCCTGACAATTATCAACCAAAATCAACAGATATTTATTCAGTTTTTTTTTGTTTATGCCAATAATATCTGTTTGCAGAGAAACAGAAATCGAACGCACAACTACATCCTGGCAAGCTACAATCTTGGGTTTTTTTTTTTTTTTACAAAAGACTACAGATAGTACAACACAAACACCAGTTTAAATTACTTTTGCTAGAGGCTGTAACTATTTAACAGGCAGGCTAAAACACAAGAACTACACAAGAAACTCAAGATTTCTGACCGGGTGAAAACATTGGATTTGTGGGATTGGAGAGTTGAATTTATATACGAAACATAAGTCAAAGGTGTGAAATCAGTAGAAGGCTCAAGGAGCTGCAGCAGGAAGAAGAAACTTTGAAAAGGAGACACAATACAAGGGCTACAAATCAAGACAAAATAATGATTTAATCTGAGAATAACATAGTACCACACCCTCAATTATGGCACCACTTAAAAGTGGAACTTCACTATTGGCCTTTTCCCCCCATTCAGGTGACACCTCCAGTACCGTGTCTGCTCTCTGCTACACTGTGCCCAAATCTGCCCAGGGCAGTGGCCTTCACACTCTAGAGTCCGGTTCCGACTATAAGAGCCGGGACATGACCACCAACAACCGAGTCATCTTTGGCCCTGGCATCAGCATGTCCACCTGCGATGTTAGACTCATCGATGACAGCGAGTACGAACTGTCCGAGGAGTTCGAGCTGGTGCTGTCGGACGCATCCGATAATGCACGCATAGGGGACGTGTCTGTGGCCAAGGTTGTCATTGACGGACCCAATGATGCTTCAACGGTTTCGCTTGGAAACGCCACCTTTACCTTCAGCGAAGATGCTGGTATGAACCTCTCCCAATGTACACAAATCAGTGATGCCATTCTCTTTCCTTTTCTTTATTTACCAGACATATAAATTTCCTTGTTTTTCTTTTTTTTTCTTTCTTTTTTTTGTACATCAAAATGAAAAAAAGTCAAATTCATGCATACAGAAGCGTATTGCTACATTATCACACTATCACGTTATAACGTGATTAAGTATTGTAAAAACATGATAGGTATATTGTACAAACGCGATCATTTCTATGCTTTTAAACTGTGTCCTAACACACAGATGGAGGCTAGTAGTATTGATTAAGTTTTGCTTCATGCTTAGTTTAAGACAGGGAGAATTACTGATGCTGCTGCCCACTGTGGACGTAATCATTCTTACAATCTTCCCACACTGAGAAGAATCCAGCTATACGCTTCCATGGTTTTGAACACATTTAAGGTGGTGACACTAATATCCTTGAAGTCCACTGTAACTCTCCAACTGGCCAATGAGGAAAGCCGCCGTATAGTGAAGATCGGCCAGATTTTTCCTTCCTTCCATTTTCTGTATGATCCTTAAGTGTGAGCAAAATGATTTCATCCACAGTGCGCATCAGCAATTCTAAGTGTGTTATAACAAACATAAATTTCAGATTGATAAATTCTTTTAAGGTAGCCATTCTAGCTACAAGCCTTCATCTATATGAGCATGCAGTCATAGACTACTACCGCCAGCATCTTAGAAACGATCACTTTTATTCAATGCAGCCATCACATTTGTACAATACATCATTATAACATGATATTAAAAAGATTATCTTCATTCAATGACAGCAAAAGGCTTCTGTACATATTTTTTAAAAAGAAATATCCTACAGCTCTGTATTAAGAATGAATTTTAACGCCAAAATGTGTCTTTGAAATAGTTTTTTTTTGTGGCGGTGAATTTCTTCAAACTACCAAACTACAAAAAGCAAATAATTTTTTTTAATGTCTGGTTAAAATAATTCTTGGCACACATATTTTGAAAAAACAAAACATATCATTATTTCCATTTTTCTCTCATGTTACACTCTTGTTTAATTTTTTTTCTTCACTCCAGGCACTGTTGAAATACCGGTCCTGCGTCATGGCAGCGACTTGTCCTCTTTGACTTCTGTGTGGTGTGCTACCAGACCTTCAGACCCACCGTCAGCCAGCCCAGGAGTTGACTACATCCCCAGCTCCAAGAAGGTGGAGTTCAAACCTGGAAAAACCGAGGAGGTATGGCTGGAGCCTGCTCATTTATAATCTTTTTGAGAATTCCAGAAGTGATATGTACTTCTACTTGGAGTTAAATGTTTTTATCCCTCCATTATCTACACTGCTTGTCAATTTTAGGGCCTGTTTATAGATTGTCTAGATTAGAATATTAAAAAGATAATATTCCATTTGCTTTTTAGGCTTGTGATGTGAAACTACCCCAGAATTGACAGTGATCTTTACAATCTGTACTGAGGCTCTGGTTTCTACTTTTCAGACCTGCAGCTTAACCATCATGGATGACATCCAGAATCCCTCCATCGAAGGATCTGAGTCATTTGTGGTGTTCCTCAGTTCCCCCCAGGGTGCTGTTTTGCAGGAACCCTACGAAGCCAACGTGGTCATCGCTGACACCTTCCAGGACAGTGAGTACTCTAGAAAATCTGATTACATTGTAATTAAATGTACATCATGTTTCCCTTTGATACTCAATAAATGCTTGATGTCTCCTATGAATTACCAATAAGTCACTTTCCTCCCCTCAAGTTCCCAATATGCAGTTTGAGAAGGGTACCTACACTGTAAAGGAGAGGGACAGTGTCCTCCACATCCCAGTCATCCGGACTGGTGACTTGTCCTTCAAGTCGTCTGTGAGGTGTTTCACCCGGACCATGTCTGCCATGGTGATGGATGATTTTGAGGAGCGGAGGAACGCAGATGAGTCCAGAATCACTTTCCTCAAAGGAGAGAAGGTGAGTGTCAGACCCCAAGGAAAAAGCAAATGCAAGACTCCAGACTAAATATAAAATCAGTTATCATGTAATACAGTCTGAGGTCGAAATACAAAGAAATAATCCAGACTGAAGCATCTTTAAAAAACTGAGAGAAAGGGAAATATAAAATACAAGCTAAGTCAAGAAATACAAAGAGACAATGTTGAAATAACAAATTAAATGCTTTACTCAAGGAACAAAGACGAACTATCAAAGGAAAGCTGCATTGGGTGATGTATGAATAGGTAAACAAAGCAAATTGATAAGACACAGCTAGACAAAATTAAGGTGTGACAGAGGTTAATTAAAAAAAAGAATGCTAAGATGTAAAGTTGTCTGAAAACAAACAGAATGAGGAAAGGAGCTCGTAAAAATAAGACATGAACTTAAAAAGATAGCACAAAACCAGATTCACAAAGGAAGAAACAATTAGTACAGTAAGGCATGACAGTAAGGGGTTCATCCCAGAATTGATACATCTGTGTTTTGGTCTATACATTTTTTTTATTTTTCCCCCAGGTGAAGAACTGCACACTTCACATCAACGATGACTCTGTTTTTGAACCTGAGGAGGAATTCCAGGTTCATCTCGGTACTCCCCTTGGGGACCACTGGAGCGGTGCAATGGTGGGCGTTCGTGACATTGTCACCATCACTATAACCAATGATGAAGATGGTAAGATGAGAGTCTCATCTTTATTTGTATCACTCTTAAAGCTCAGGATTGTAAGCCAGAATTCCCCCTTACTCTGGCAAATTAAAGCTGTCACTTTACCAAGCTAAACACTGTAATTTTCAGTGGTAACGGAATTATTCAGGACTGCCGAATTGGTGTTTTTTTTACCCTCAGCAACATCATAATGACCGATTTTATCTCCATTTGTGAAATAAAGAGCAGTCTAATAAGCCTTTATTGCTTTTTGGATATCCGGTTTCTCCAGCTCCCACCATTGAGTTTGAGCAGGCGTCTTATCAGGTCAGAGAGCCTCCTGGTCCAGATGGAATAGAAGTGCTAAACATCAAGGTTATCCGCCGGGGAGATCTAGATCGAACATCAAAGATACGCTGCAGCACCCGGGACGGGTCAGCCCAGTCTGGAATCGACTACAATCCTAAGAGCAGAGTGCTCAAGTTCACACCAGGTCAATGCAGTAAAGCCATGATACGACAAGCCCTAACACATCTACACATTTTACATAAAGAGATGTGGATAGAGTGACTTCAATGATATCTAACTTTTTTTCATAATTTCATAGGGATGGATCACGTCCTGTTCAAAGTGGAAATTTTGTCCAATGAGGACAGAGAGTGGCATGAATCCCTCTCCTTGGTTCTTGGTCCAGACGACCCTGTGGAGGCGTTGCTTGGGGAGATCACCATGGCAACTGTTACCATTCTGGACCAAGAGGCTGCAGGCAGCCTCATCCTTCCTGCTCCACCTATTGTAAGAAAACTCACACTTACATAACAAATACACTCAAGAAAAAGCAGCACAAGGGCAAACTACAAGAGAAAGTACTGTGAGGGACTTGTGCGGTCTCTGTTTTCATCACAAGGTATTATTTTGCAGTCAAATAGAAACCCAAGGGCAATGATTTATAAAGAATTAATTCATTTATTTTTCACATCAACCCTGGTGGTGTGTTGGTTTTATCTGTTCCACAGAGAGCAATCTAATGAAAAGTATCTTTGAAACTTGTGCTTTAAGCTTTTTCTTTCATTAGTTTGCAAATCTGCCTACGAAATCATTTGTTGATTTTAAGATTTCTGTATATTTAGAGTTTTAGTTTTGTTAAAAGACGATGGAGTGCAGGGCTACCACAATCAGATTTATGAGTTTTTTAAGGTTGCCTATGTTTTTTACAAAACAGTGCCATCTTCATTATATCAAGTGTTTTTTGCCTTACAACAGCAATAAACTATGATCCTCAGCTGTGTCATTCCAAGAATTTCTGAACTGATACATGTTCAAAATATCAAATAGTAGCTTTAACACAGTAGCTTTAAACATCCCTGCTGTGGGTTTTCAATTTTTTTTTACATTTCTTCTGTATTTCACTATAAATCCTTTACTTGATTGTGTCAAACTGTTGTATTCAAATGCTACTTTATTTCTTTAAGTAAGACTTGGCGTTAAGTAAGATGCTGCGTTTCCTATCCATCATTACCAACACTTTCTCCTCCTCTACAGGTGGTCTCTCTGGCCGATTACGATCATGTCCAGGAGGTGACCAAAGAGGGCAGTAAGAAGCATCCCTCTCCAGGTTATCCTCTGGTTTGCGTCACTCCCTGTGACCCTCACTACCCCAAGTACTCTGTGATGAAGGAGCGCTGCGAGGAGGCAGGAATAAACCAGACCCAAGTTCATTTCTCATGGGAGGTGGCGTCACCCACCGATGCCAGCGGAGCCCGGACCCCGTTCGAGACCGTGACGGACACCACCCCGTACACCAGCGTCAACCATATGGTGGGTATCCTGCAACAGCTCAAAGCTTTGTGGAGATTTCAGAGCTTGATGTGTATTTCACCCTTTAGCAAATTTACATAGTTTTCTCCTAGCTCTCAATTAAATTGTCAAAAGCTTATTTTTTTCATACATGTTTTTCTATCTTTTACATCTCAGTATTGTACAGAGATGTCCACAAAGTGGAAAAAGATACACCTGACCTTCTGATGAAATTATAATATTGGGGATTTATTCTTCTAAGATAAATTGTGCATCTTCTTAAAACTTTAGTGATTGTGTATAAATATTAACAGTTTTTCCAATTGTATCCAAAATTCATAAATACCCCATGTCACAACTCACAGACGCAAAAACTTTCTGATTTTAGACAGTTTGTGATGACATTTGCATTATTTTGAATCATTTAAAAAGTTTGATCTTAAAACAGATCAATTAATCTTACTTTTTTCTTTCCCCCTTAGGTGCTGGACAGTATTTATTTCAGCCGTCGTTTCCATGTTCGCTGTGTGGCTCAGGCTCGTGATAAATCTGGTCACCTTGGAACACCACTGAGGAGCAATATTGTCACTATTGGCACAGAGGGCTCCATTTGCCACACGCCTGTTACCACAGGAACCGCCAGAGGTTTCCAGGCTCAGTCTTTCATTGCTACTCTAAAATACTTGGATGTCAAACACAAAGAACACCCCAACTGGTCAGTTGTTACGGATCGCCGTTGGCTGGATCTTGACCAAACATTTGAAAAAAAATGTCATGATGTTTTTTCTGATCCATGTGTCCTTGTGTAGTATCCATATCTCAGTACAGATCCCTCATCAGGATGGCATGCTCCCACTGGTGTCCACCATGCCGCTGCACAACCTACACTTCTTGCTCTCAGAGTCCATCTACAGACAACAGCACATCTGCTCCAACCTGGTCACCCTTAAAGAGTTGCAAGGGGTCTCCGGTGGGTCATAAATCTCTGACAGTGACATCATGTCATAAAAAGACACATGACGTCATGTGTGCCCACTTAAAACAAAAAAAATCATTCCTCTGTTAGTTACTCATCAAAATACTTACAGAATCTAATTTTCATAATGTGTACATTTTAGGATGAAACAAGAAAAAGCTGTTTAAGTTTTTGTATTTTCACATCTTCTCTTGTTCATAAAATGTGTGATCCGGTCCATTGACTTTTAGGAAAATGTCAACAATGAGCACATGACACACAACGAGTCTGTTCCCACCTTTAAATCTGCCATTGTATAGAGATGATGTGCTCTGAACTGCAGCAACACAACACACACCCACAGTCAAGACTGATAAGAAAAACTTCTGTTTATCTTACTTGCACTTTGGTGTAACTCTGCAAACTCTGTAAACATCACAACATATTATCTCATTGGCTCAAAAAAAGTTGATATAGTTGAACTGCAAATCCTTAAGATAAAACTGGTATACATAGAGTAAAAAACTAAATATGTCCAACAGTAATACACTGAGGAAAAATAAAACTTGATCAACCCTGAACTTTCAGTTCCATTGTGACCACAGGATACATAGAATGTGGACGTATGGTATTAAAATAGCTGGAAGAATCTTCAGAATGACCAAGCTGAGCTACAGCAGAGGGACAAGGAATAATAAGTTATATTAAGTTTTATTTGTTTACATTTTCCAGCCATCTACCACTGAGGGTGTCTGTTATATTTGTTTCTAGCAAATATGAACTGTAATAGCATTCTTTTGCAGAAACTGGCTTCCTGGATGATGTATCCTATGACAGCATCTCTCTCGGACCTGGCTATGACCACCCATACCAGTTTAACCCCGGCGTCCGTGAGGCCAAAAGCATCCTGCTCTACAAGCACCTGAACCTCAAAAGCTGCATTTGGACATTTGACGCCTACTATGACATGACTGAGCTTATCGACATCTGCGGTGGTTCCGTCACCGCCGATTTCCAGGTTTTTATCGCTGTCTTTTTGCGTCTATCTGCAGTACGCTGAAAAATTGCTACCATGTTACGCATCTTCCAAATTTTTAAAATACATATCCACACAAGGTCTAGCACTCGCCTTCTGCTGAGCTTTTGACATCATCATACAGTCTTATTGTGTTCAAACTTAGTTATTTCAAGATTATGCTTATATTGCATGTTGAGATGAACAGTTTAAGTCTGGTTTTGTTGTTATTTAGTAAGTCATGTCCTCAAAGTTTGCTTATTTTTGCGATTTCACCGAGACAGCTAACAGATAAAAATAACTAATTAATTCTGTAATGTCACTGATGGAGAAAATTGAGCATTTTTATCAGCAGGAACAGCTCAAAGTGTTTTCAGCTTCAGGCAGAAATGATACGGAGGGTTTCACAGTGTTTGCTAATGATCGGATGTTGATTCTCATATCAGTCCGACCCTGAATCAACCACATGCTGTTGTTTTTCTAGGTTCGGGACTCGGCTCAGTCCTTTCTGACGGTTCAAGTCCCCCTGTACGTATCCTACATCTACGTGACGGCTCCCAGAGGCTGGGCCTCCCTAGAACACCACACTGAGATGGAGTTCTCATTCTTATACGACACAGTGCTTTGGAGAACAGGTCGGGACTGTACACAACACAAACATACACTTTTGCGATGAGATACACTCTGGCTTGTAATCTTTGAAATGGTATTTAACAAAAGCTCCCCGTAACCTCCGCAGGTCTTTCAGAGTTTTCAGTTTTGAAAAGCCACCACTGACCTCAAACTGGATGAAGGCTATTGAGAAGGAAAACAGGATAGAAAACTGAGATATGTCAAAATCCAAGAAATCTACATCAGTATCAACATGGTGTAGAAAGTATCCACCCATAACCTCTGTTATCACCTTGTCAATTGTATTTTTATTTATGTCTGTAATATATGTTAGTTAGACCATGGCGATATTTATCTTATTCCCCAAAAATTCTATACCCATAGGTTAGGTTTAAAAAAAATACAAATACAACAACAATAAAATAAATAACAGTATAATGGCAGCACTCTAAATAGAACACTGTCTGATTCTGAATCCAAATCAAGCACTGGACTGCAATGAGGATGTGTTCTGAGAGGCAAGCTGGAGTCAGTAGTAATTTTCTCCTGTCGAGTTGAAAGAAGCATAACATTTGCTCTATTTTTGAGCCAAAGATCTTATTGTCAATGTTTCTTTTTTTATCTGAATCTCTCGCACATGCAGGTATCCAGACGGACAGTGTCCTCTCGGCTCGGCTGCAGATCATCAGGATCTTTATCAGAGAGGACGGTCGGCTAGTGATTGAGTTTAAAACTCATGCCAAATTCAGAGGTGAGTTCACACCAACCATTTATTTTCAAAGGTATACAATAAATAATATACAATACGAAAGGATACTGTTTTCCTTGTCTGTGTAAATGCGTTATTTATTTATTTTCAAAGTTGGTTCCATTACTTTGCAGGGCGCTACATTGTCTGTTTAACTCTTCTTCCAGTGCTCTCTCATTCTTATGCAAGCATAGTTTTCAGGAAATGTTTTGTGATGCTGTTTCTTGTTGGTGCCCTAAGATGCATTAGCTTCGACCCAAAAAATTCCAGATAAGACAAAAGACAGATGGGCAAAAGACAGCAATCATTCCGTCATCCATCCCTCCATTCTCTTCTACTTTATCTGAGGATGGGTTGCGAGGAAAGTAGGTTTAAGGGCAAACCCAGATATATCTCTGAGTGGTACTTTCCAGCTCTTCTTAGTGGATCACAACAGGTTGTCAGGTCAGAGGGGATATAAAGTCTGAGCATCTGCTTCTGGGTCTACCCTGAGCAGGAAACGTCCACAGGGAGGTGATGGGTAGCCATTCTAACTTTTTCAAGCCTTTGATGCTTAGTGGCAGTGGCTGTATTCCAATTTCCTACTGGACAGCCAAGCTTGTCACCCTATCTCTAACGCTGAGCCCAAATACCCTCAAAAGGAAACTCATTTCAGCTTCTTGTGGCTGCTCAAAACAAAGCAAAGAGCTGTTCAGTTCATGGAATTTGTTTAGTTTTTTTTAAAACCGCATTTTTCCATTTCTTCCTCCAGGTCAGTTTGTCCCTGAACATCACACCCTGCCAGGCCACAAGTCCAACCTCATGGCCCCTGACCACCTGGGGGGCATCGAATTCGACATTCAACTGCTGTGGAGTGCTCAGACCTTCGACTCCCCGTACCAGCTGTGGAGAGCCACCAGCTCCTACAGCAGGTCAGTAGGGCTGCTCACTGCCGTAATCGCAGCATGAAACCTTCCCATGTAAAACATGTTCAGCTGAACAGTAATGATTTTCTTAGTCATGAGAATCGGGGTGTCTTTTTCAGAAAATTGGGTAGACTTGACTTTAAATAACTTATTTTTTTCATCCATTGAATCTTCCCATGTTTTTTTGGCATAAAGTCTCTGATCCAAAGATTTATCTAAGACCACTACTAAGGATTTTTAATCACTATTATTGGCAACTTTAGAACTAGTCATTCATTTATTCGTTCATATACATGAAATTATTTGCTCCAGAAAGCAGAATTTCGTCCCCTTAATTCTACCTTACTGGTTGTAAACCATATATTCAATCAACTGTCTCCTTTTCACAGAAAAGACTATTCTGGAGAGTACACTGTGTTCTTGATACCCTGCACTGTGCAGCCCACTCAACCCTGGATCGACCCTGGGGATAAACCTCTCTCCTGCACAGCTCACGCTCCAGAAAAGTAAGGCTGCAAAGAATTATTGGATACTGTCTCAGTGACTTACACATTAATTTTTTGTGTCCAGTTTAACCATGTATGGTCAGTATATTTGCTGCATTGTGGACCATATTAGTTGAGTAGTTAACCCAACTGTCCAATTGTTTTCCAACAGATTTCTGGTGCCGATCGCCTTCCAGCAGACCAATCGGCCCGTTCCAGTGGTTTACTCGCTCAATACGGAGTTCCAGCTCTGCAATAATGAAAAGGTGTTCCTAATGGACCCGGGCACCAATGAAGTTTCTATGGCTGAGTTGGACTACAAAGGAGCATTCTCAATGGGTATGAGAGAAAGTTGAGAGATGGAGTATAACGTTAACGTGTTGTGTCTTTGTTGGGCACTAAGTTACAGCTGTTCCTTTGCTGCCCCCTGTAGGCCAGACTCTGTATGGCAGGGTGCTGTGGAACCCCGAGCAGAACCTGAACGCAGCCTACAAGCTGCAGCTGGAGAAAGTTTACCTCTGCACCGGCAGAGATGGCTATGTTCCCTTCTTTGATCCCACTGGAACTCTTTACAACGAGGGAGCACAGTATGGCTGCATTCAACCCAACAAACACCTCAAGCATCGCTTCCTGCTGCTGGTACAGATAAAGTCATGAGGCTTCTCCTCTTTTTCTTTTATTTTCAGACCTCTAGAGTATGGTTTAACAACAGTGTGGAAATTTTATCAATTTAATCAATTTATGCAGTGTAAAAAATTTAATGACATGGTTTTGGTTTTTTGGATTTTGTTTATTCAACTCTATTCAAGTCATCCAAGAAGCTGTGATTCTTTTATTATGGAACATAATGAACTGCCATCCTTTCAATACAAACCAGCCAACATAAATGCGCGTAATTTTAATTAATGTCTCTCAGTTCCTGCCCAACCAGTCACATTACATTATGATTTTTTTTTAGAACTTATTGAAATGCTGTGGGATATTTAAATTGCCATTGTACTACTGATGTGTGTCATCTGAACCAAACAGCTTTTCTTTTGTCTCTGCAGGATCGTAAACAGCCGGATGTATGTGACAGGTTTTTTCATGACGTGCCCTTTGAGGCCTATTTCGCCTCAGAGATCCCAGAGCTGCAGTCCATGTCAGCCATGCCTGGTGTCGATGGCTTCACGATGAAGGTTGATGCTCTCTACAAGGTGTGTGGACTCATACAGGGCACCTCGATTACACTGGTGGAAGATAAATGTTCAGTCGTCATGAGATGAGAAGCAGAGATAACAGATTTTTCAATTCTAAATGTGGAATTCACACGCGCATTTGACTTCAAAATAAAACAATTAGCGTCATTTGTCATTTTCAAATTAAGAAATGCAATTTTTAGCTCAAACTTTACATAGTTCTGTATCACTTATGCAATTCTAGGTGGAGGCAGGACACCAATGGTATCTACAAGTGATCTACGTTATCAGTCCAGAGCCACGCTCCGGCTCCAGATTCCAGCGCTCTGTAACCTATCAGCTGAGCCGCCCCAAGCGCGACCTAGTGGACCACAGCGGGCGGCTGACCCTCGATGAGTCCCTCATCTACGACAACGAAGGCGATCAGGTGAAGAACGGAACCAACATGAAGACGCTCCACCTGGAGGTCAGCCCCTCCCCCACCTTCAACGCCCACATGGGCAGCTCGGTGGGTGGAGGAGTGGCTGCCGTCACCTTATTGGTCCTGGTTCTGCTGGCCGCCTGGTTCCTGTTCTGCCGCTGCAGACAGTCGGTCAAGAAGAACAACGGGAAGCCCCCCAAGACGTACGAAGAGTATCCGCTCAATACCAAGGTGGAGGTGTGCATGGACAAGTGTGTGGAGAAGAACTTCGGCACCAAGCACTGCACGGTGAGAAACGTCAACATCAACCGCAACCAGAAGGACAACCAGAAGACCAAAGTTAAGCAGGTCAACCTGGAGGTGAAACTTCATAACAACCTGAACGACGGCACCGAGGTCTGAAACCACGAGGGGGGAAGCAAAAGGGAAAAAGAAAGCGGAGTAAAGATAAGGTTATTTTCCAAAAGAGAGTCTGTTCTTAAAGGAAAAAGATGTTTGTTAATGTATTTTTATATCACTTGGAAAAAGGGAAGAGTGCGATGTGCAGGTGACTGGCCAACCTCAGGAATCCACAAACCACTCAGCTGGGTTAAACAGCCAAACACCCACATCTGATCATCCAAACTGCATCTGTATTACTGTTTTACTTGACATTAATGTACTTTTTTGGCACCAAAATGGTGACTGGTAGCTCAGACACTGGTGATTGTTTGAACAAAGTGTGTTGTCTACTGTATCAAGTCATTTCACTGCTTTAAGTGTCACTACTTTAAGAGAGGGGTAGCAGGTGTAGAAGTGCTCCTTTTCTGGGTTCATGCTTTCATATGAGAACTACTTTAACTACTTTTACATCCTGCCACAGCTGCTTCTGTGAGAGTATTAAGCACAAACAGTGTGCTGCTATCGCCCGAGGTTGAGTGAGTGTAAATAACAAAAATGAATGATACCTTAAAGTGCAATTATGCCATAGCTTTTCTTATGCCCTACTTCATGAGCTGGAGCTTTGTTAGCATTTAAACGAACGTTGCATTTCCGATCTTACTTGGAGAGCTTTATGAACACCCAGGTACCTTCTTGTTTCAGAACAAATTATTTGTGTATGCGTGGGTGTTCGTACTGTGCTCTGACAGCTGCCAATATTAAGTGCCATGCAGTATTTTATTTTTCATGACTCTCAAGAAAACAGATCATCCAAAGTATTTCTTCTTTAGATTGAAATTGTAAAGGTTGGAAATCTCCATGCGATTGTAGCAAATGCTGTTCAAACTGTAGCGTTTTGACAGCTAAAGTCACGCTCTCATCCTCCCTACTGACAGCTTTGGCCTTACTACATTCAAATGGAAATAAGCGGTTTCATCAGTTTGTCTGCCATTGTTCCTCCCAAAGACTAAAGAGCACTAATCATGTCACCTCTCAAATGTTTTTGGTTGAGTTTTATATTATTAACTTACTCCCTTTTATGTATTATGTTACACCTCAGCTAATCATGTACCTGTATTGATCAAGTTCCTTTCATTTTTTTTTTTAATATTATAGTGTATAACACTGGTTAGAGGGCAATGTAAAAGAAATAAAAAAAATCTGTACATCTTATGAGATGTTGACATGTAACTCTTCTCTAATCCGCTCTCTGTTGTCTTTTAACTTTGTGCCTATCAAACAAGAATATGGGGTTATTGGAGGAAATAACATATTTTTTGGTGCTATCATTTTGTGGAAAAACAGTACTGTCAGTACATTGCCTGTATTTGGTGCCTTTTTTGGTAATAAAACAAGTATGAAACTCAAAAGTCAAACCTCCACAGTGTTTGTTTTGCCAGTTCCACACTCTGTGTCCCAGTGTGTGAACAAGAAACTAGTCAAATTTTTTTTATTTGAAATGTTATATATAGTGGACTAGGCAATTCTTAGATTCTAGAAAGTCTAATATTAGCTGGTATTACTCAACAATTTGGAAAGTTACACCCTAGCTCAAACGTTTAGAATAGTATATTAGTGAGTCAGGTGGCAGAATTCTGAGGTGTACGAATCATCCCTGAATGCATCACCTGCCTGGAGAACAGGTGTGGCCACCTGTCTTTTCATGTAGATTTAGCTGCTGGAGAAACTGCAGGTGTGGCAGAACCCGTCTGGTTAAGACAAAGACAGGTGAGCTCCTTTCATTTACTTACTGAATGTCACTAAATTCTTATAAAGTAGAAGTTTAGTCAGTTCTAACATTTAGAATCCTAATGTTAAGATCTTAGAGGTTTTTAGGCGGTTGATGCTCCATTTTATTCTAATAAGTACCCTAGTAAATTATACAGTCTGTTCTTTTGCAATCAGGCAATTTCTTTTACAGAAAATTGAAGAACTGAAATCTGGCAGTTTTGCTTGTCTATCATCAATCATAGTTGAAGGATCCAGGAAGGAACCAAGGAAAAAAAAAAAGTATTTACAAGAAAATCAAAAATGCGCAGCGAAAGCCGGATACAAAAATAACTCAGGCTGGAAAAGAACAAAACATAGAACTAACAAAACCAAAGAACTCACTAGGACGAAGACAGGGAAGTTGGACCAGGGATAGACACATAGAAATCAGGAAGAAATTCTAATGGTGGTTCTGACGTTAAAGATCTGGCAAAGAGTGACACGATTGGAAGCTTTTCAAGAGGAATGTGTGATTGGTGAAATGAAAGAGGGAAGTAAAGTAAATTAGAGGCACAAGGGGAGACAGGAAGACAAGGCAGACACCAAAATAAAAGCACAGGAACACAAAACCTAAATCACTAAACCTAAAACATAGAACATCACAGTTATATATATTGTAGCCATATATTAGTAACTTTTAAACTCGGTCAAGCGTTAGCATTTAAACTTTTAAAAGATTAAATAAATAGTAAGATTTATCTTACAGTGTATGAATATTAAAATGCTAAAATCCAGTTTAAAGTTTAATGTCAACTGTCTGAAATGTAAAATAGATAAATAATTTTATTTTACAATGTTTATCTTTATCAATGTAGTTTCATAGAGAATGTTCAAATGATTAAAGCTATTAGTTAGCATTAGTACACTTGTTGGTAGCTTTAATTCACCTAAGTTCGGCTTTATTCATTAACCTATTTGGACTAAAAGCAATCTCAGCAAGCTATAGGGTAAAAGATCAATTCAATTAAATAGCATGCCATAAGATTCATCAGGATTCAAATAAATATAATTTATGATGCAGTTTCGTCTTTTTGCTGAATATCAGCATTGACAAACTTAAAAAATATGTAAATTGCAAGTTCAAATGTGTGTGTTGTTTTACAGAAGAATCATCTGTAATCATGGCATCTTTATGGGTAAGACCATCTCTGTGGTTTAATAGTAAGGTATTGTATAATCTCACATTCTAAAGTAAGGTGATTTTTTTTCAGGATGACTTGGACAGCCTTGTGATTTCGCCTTCATCTGCCAGCTCAACAGTAGGTCTTTCTCACTTGGTTTAAAGAATCTTTTTTCCATAATGACAGAATGGATTGGGGAGAGGGTCGACTAATTATCAGGCAAGTCTACTTACTTGTACTTGTGTTCTTCAGAATGGAGAGAGGGGAACCATCAAGCCCAAAGAAAACTTTGATGCAGATGAGGATGCTGTAGCACTAAAGGACGCCATTGAAGGATTTGGTAGGACACTTTTTCCTGTATTTCTGAGGATATTAGATTGGTGTTCATTTACATCCTGCAATATAATGAAAAAAATGAATATACTGTTTCCCTTAAGTTGTTAAATTAATTCTAAAATTGCTGTAACTTTGTTACCATGGCATTTTTATACTACTATGCTCCAAGAATATGCCTTTGTAATATATTGCAGATTATAATTATATCATTATAAGTTCATCATTTCTATTCCAATGACTGAAATGATAATAAAAACAAAAATTGACAGTAATAGATGAGGCAGTGTTCATGCTACTTTAACATTGTAAACAAATAGGAACCATTGATGACAAAACTAAATTGGACTTTTAGCAGTTAATTCAAGGAAAGTTCCTTCATGACTTAAATATTTTAAAAAAACTGAAAGATGATGGAAGACTAAAGCCACAAGAATGGTTTAACAATTATTGAACAAGCCAAGTACAAATATACATTAATACGACATGTTTGATTTACTTTTCTTCTACTAAACCACTTGAAAGATAATCTGAAATTTGTGTTTATGTGAAAACATGATAACCATAGCGCTTCACAAATTTTCCAATCTGCAATTTATTGACCTTTTCTTAAGATAATAGGTTAATTCCAGCTAGCATGTAATTTTGCATGGACCTCATTGGTAACTTCTTTTAAATGTTTTAAATGGTTTTTCTTTGTCACAGTATGAATAACAGAAGGTAAAATATTAACTATGCCTTATTTATTCATTATTTGCTGGTGTTAAACACAACCTTTTACAGTGGCCTTACTTTTCATTATAGGCACAAAGGAGAAGATCCTGATTGGCATTCTGACGGGCAGAAGTAACGCTCAGAGGCAGCTCATCAGTAAAGCTTATGAAGAAGCCACTGGCAGAGTAAGATTTCTCTTCTCTGGTGAACACAGGCATATTTCGGTATTCTGATTGCAAGATCACATTTTCATAAAGAAATAAAGGAAACTACCCAGAAAGAATCCTGCTGCATGTACACATTCTGTTATTTTATTTTTGTTTCTCCTAATTTGTAATTAAACATTTATACTGTGTGTTGAATAGTCTCTTTTAGTGCACACTATTATCATTAAAACAGATAAAGTAGCATGTTTTCCCATTCAGTTGTCACTGCTAAAGCTCCATGTGTGTTGACAGGTGGTATATTCAATGGTGTTCAATCTAACAAATGTCATGTGAATGGTAAATTGAGTGTATAGTCAAACTTGAATAATCCCCCCCATCAGTCTTGCTGAGCCAAAATGTACACACAGGGTAACATAAACAAATTAGAACTCAACCACGTGACAGATAATGGAAACAAAGCTCAAGCTAAAACAAACTAAAGAATTAATCATATTATAGCTCAGCAAACTGAATTGTTTTAACAATAGTTTTAGTGAATGACCAAAGAGGGAGATTACATGGTCAATAATCATTATGTTCTTTTTCATTTAAAAAAATGGAAACATTTAAAGTTGATTAAAGGTACACAAGTTGACTATAATTCAATCTCTAATCCTCCTTTAGTGCAGTTTTCAACCAAGTGACTGTTCAGTTTGTATGCTGACTGTGAGAAGCTGTCGGCAGTGTCTATTTGCATGGGTGGGGATGGGTGGTGTCCAAATAGTGTCTGTTTGAATATTGATGGTTTATATTTGTGTCACAGACGTTGCTGAAGGACCTGAAAGGGGACACCAGTGGTGATTTTGAGGACCTGCTGGTTGCACTCGTCACTCCTCCTGTAGAGTATGTCTGCCATGAAGTGATTAAGGCCATTAAAGTAAGTTTAACTATCTATATGTGCCCATTATTTCAAATCCTAGAAATCTAAAAAAAAATATTTATTGTTGCAGGGAGCTGGTACGGAAGACAGTACCCTGATTGAAATATTTGCTTCCAGAACCAATCAAGAAATCAAAGCTATCAAAGATGTCTTTTTTAAAGGTAACCACTGGAAACAAACTAATTACACATTGTGGAAATGCAATGAGAGATTTTTTTCCCACATTGTTTACTTGCTTTGTTAGCTTTTTTTTGTCATTTCAGCATAATCACTTGTATTTTACACATTTTCCTCCACAGAAACAGAGAAGCAGTTGATTTCTGAGCTAGAGGGTGAAGTTTCTGGAGATTTTTCCAAAGCTCTGCTTGTCCTGGCTGAGGTAATAAAAAGAAAACACAAAGGAGTTGTATTTCACTAAATCTATCGAAGATGTGCATGTTTTAAGTCTACAGTCATTTCAACAATGTTAAACTTAACTTTTGTTAAACAAAATAACAACACACTTTATTTCAAAAGTGTATATCAAAAGAATAACATGTCATTTTGAAACAAAAATAGAAATGGATTTAATAAGAATAGATAACAGATTGATACAGAAGATAACACATCATATGAACATATGAACAAGCATTTTTTTTGCTGAACATTTTATGAAGTAAATAATTCCAATTTTATAGGGAAACAGGGACGAGGGAGACACAGTGGACATGGAAAAGGCCAAGGAAGATGCCAAGGTAGAGTATGACACGTTCTTAAACCAAACATACCATAACATTCTTGTTTTACGTGCACGTAAAACAAGAATGGGTTTTAAAGTTTGAATCTCTTCTTTTTCTTAAAACAGACTCTTTATGATGCTGGAGAGAAGAAGTGGGGCACCGATGAGTCTAAATTTATTGACATCCTCTGCCACAGAAGTGTGCCTCAACTTAAACAGAGTAGGTCAAATTAGTTTTCAAAAATAGCAGATGGAATATTTAGGGATGCTAAGTAAGTTTTTTTTTTTTTTTTTTTTAAAGCTTTTGTTGAGTACAAGAATATAAGCGGAAAGACCCTGCAACAAAGCATCGAAGGAGAAATGTCAGGAGAGCTGGAGGAGCTGCTGGTGGCTGTGGGTAAGCTGGTCTGATTACTGGCCCATAGTCGTGCCATTGTTAAAAAAATGTTTTGGATCTTCTTGTTTTATGGCTGTGCCAGTTTCGTATAGATGATTAAATCTTGAACAATTTGTTCCACTTACAGTGAAATGTGTGAAAAGTGTCCCAGCTTACTTTGCTGAGCGTCTCTACATGAGCATGAAGGTAAATCTATTTTTGTGCTTTTACATTCAACATTAAATGTACTTATCCTCATTTTAATCATTTATAGATAATAATCTGTCTGTAAAAGGTTTCTAAAAGGTAAAGTTCTTAGTTTATCTTGAAGTTTAAATTTTGTACATCCTTACAACTATCAATACAAGCTGTGTCACAAAATACCTTTACCTTTAAAATACCACTTTAAAGATGTGAAATAACTCATAAAACAAACAAGAATATATATCTTTGATAAAAGAAAATACGTGAGTTTGTGAAAATCTCATAGAGTTCTTCTTAGAAATAATTATAGCACAAGACCGATTCAGCACTAAAGAATGGGTATTTATTTTGTGCCTAAATGACTTATAGGTCTGTGTCAAGTTTAATAAACAAACAGCTTACTCTATTAACAGTGAAACACAAGGACTGGACTGTAAATGCAAATGTCAAATAATTGTTTTGACCAACCTCAAAAAGCCAGTCAGTCAATACCACTTTAATCGATAACAAGTGTTGATGATTAGAGGCAACATAGAAATTAGTGATAGATGGATTAAGACTGTTACACAGTTTTGTACCCCAGAGCTAATTTGAAACCTTTTTATCTGATCTACTCTGGGACCTCCTTAATCTCCATTGTGCTCCTGAGTTAGCGATGCTAAAGCAAGTGAAAACATTTAATTTGTTAGGATTCTGCCACTGCCAAATCCTTCCTCATGAATTTGGAGTCATTGACTATCTCTGAGTATTTTATCTGTTTAGCTAAGACATATGCCTGTGATTTTTCAACTTGTCAAGTGATCCACATTTGGGTTTTTTCAACTGTCATCAGAAAAACTGATTAAGTACTCAATAGGAAAAGATGCTATTGACCAATCGTGTATTCTTTTGATCGTTTATCTGACATTCTTGCTGGCAGGGTGGTGGCACTGAGGAGTCAATTCTGACCCGGATCATGGTGAGCCGGTCTGAGATCGACCTCCTGGACATCAGAGCTGACTTCAAGAAACTCTACGACGATTCTCTGCTCTCTGAAATCAGCGTGAGTTTGACTTTACTGTGATTTTCCCTTGCGAATCAAATGCACGTTTGATTTATTGACTTTTTATGCAAAATGTCCACCTGATAAACAGAGTTCGAACAAAATTTTTATCTACAAATTTCAGCCCAGTATATTTCAGTAAAAACAGCCCTCGAATAAATGTTTGCACAGGACATATTCATAACAAGCCAAAATATCAATGGATATCACCAGACTATCAAGCTTGAATTTGATTGAGTTTGATTTTCCCCATGACTTCACTCAGAGGTTTTACACATCATCCCACTTTGAAGTAGTTCGCTGATCTAGACTGTCAAAAACTTGACATGCACTGGAAAAACGCACTGATACATTTGAAGCCAAATAGTTTAAATAATGCAAGAATATGGGAGCCTTCCAGGACACAGAAGAAAAGAAAAGTATTTGCGGAAAAAATTGGGGTACGATCAGCTGCCATAATACATTTAAACTCACAGATGTTATGATATGGTTTTAGTACACATCTTTAAACTTTAAATACAAGATATGCATAAAAGCGAGTAGACGCAAAACAACGGGGATTATTTTCCCCTGAACTCATCATGCTGGCACCGACATACTTCAGAGAAGTGTCTTGTTTCAGCTTTTTGACAGCTCTTTCACAATGCTCAGAAATATCTTTTCATCTGATCAGAGAATATTTTCTTTACATTTTCAGGCTACTAAAAATTCTTAATGCTTAATGCAGTTTGGTTCAGTGAACATATGTAGGCTTAGAATTGGTTTCTTTCATTTTCCATTTCAAAATTAAATCAACTAACTGGGTACATTGATGTCTGTGGATAAATGTGTGTTAATGGCTGCTGTGCTTGTGTTATTGTGCTACTCAGTCAGATCTGTCGGGTGAATACGGTGAATGTATGAAGGCGATCTGCGGAGGAGACGACTGATGCGGTTCCTGATGAACTGAAACAAGTTTTCATTTACTTGTGTGCCAATCCTGACTTTTGTGATACATCTTAAACATTCACTTCGGAATTCCATTGTTTTATACTGAAAAGCTTTAACGAAACATGGTGTGTCTGTTATTATCCTGTAAACTGGCAGTGAAATTTCGGACGAAGTTTTAATGTAGAATCTGTTGGTGATTGTTAGAATTGTAAGATGATCAAATAAAAGTTATGAAAGAGACGCTGAATCCTTATCTGGTCATACTTCTGGCTGATTATTTTTCTGAAGAGTAAATCTGAGTAAGCTAAACCTTTATTGTTGATTCCTTAGAACTGCTTTGTCATGAGTAAACAAGAAAAATTGCTTAATAAAAAGTGTTAATAGATTTTAATTAACATGTGGTAATGCAAGAGCTCCAGTGTGCTCTAAAAACAATCAAAAAGAAAATAAATGTTTCTGTTAGATGACATGCCAAACAGTTAAAAAAAAAGCAGTTTAGTTGAGACAAGCACACCTGGGAGGGAATGATGTGTTTGAGGTCGGAGAATGAGGTCCTCTTGGTTACACATGCTGGAACACAGTACGATACTCTGGGGCAGCACATGCCTGTCGTCTATGAGAACAACTTGTATACCAATTCAAAGTTGAAAAGGAACACCCCAGAGCTGCTCAATGTGATGCATGTCAATTAATAACAGTGATGGAAAACCTTGAAATTGCATTTACGACAGTACTGTGGGATGACCTGCGGAAGAGAATCAATTCAACCAGCAAAACATTGCAGCAGGTACAAATTGATGTATGCGTGGGGGATCAAGACAAGGAAATTCAATGCCAAGGTTAAGCTCAGTATCATTAGTTGAAAAGACAAACATGATGAAAGACACTGGCCTCAGACAAGGGGAACAGAGACTATTTAAACACAACAAAGGAAGGGAACCCCAGGTGAACACAATCGATGATTAGGGGAGATAATTAGACAGGGAAGTGCAAGTGACATGAAACAAGAGGGGATTTACTTTTTGAAATAAATCAGGATATGACAAGACATGACAAAACACAAAAAAATAAATAAACAGGCCCGACGCAGTACAAATCAGACAAATCTGTGCAGCCACAGAAGAAAATATACCCTCAGGATCTTGAGGAGGACTTTACAGAGAGTTCATCTCAATGGTAAAAGAGGAAAAATCATTTATGACTATGTACAATAAGCTCCGAGAAGCTAGGCTTAAGTGATGCTTTCCCTAATGTGGACATTTGCCTTTGCATATCTGACAATACCGATGATAACCTGTTCCGGAGAAAGGTAATTTTCGTTGATGAAACGAGTGAAAGAATATCAGAGCAACGGTAACAGAACGAAAACTGAATGCCTTTTCCCTGTTGGCAGTTGAGGACTTATTATTGAGGACTTTGCCTCATCAAAAAAATTCTTTAAATGTAAGTTTTCCATTTAAAAATCTAAATATGAATAACTGAAGCTAATATCAAAATATGTCAAATGCATTAAATCTGCAATGTCCAAAGAAACATCCAGACCAGTGTAGAAAACTCCTGAACATCCAGACCAGGAGATTCTGAGTGTTAAATACCCCAAAAATTGAAGAGAAGTTATGCCTGTGATCCTTCTCAACCAATTCCTTCAGGTTGGAGATGAAGAGATTTTATGTGAATTTGTGCTTCTATCTAATGTGATGTTCAAGTTCTCTAATAATTAGCATAAGACCACCCTCCTTGGTGTAAGCTAAGCAGAAGTAAGCTTGTTTTGAATGACGCCCGACGCCACATCAGTCCCGTATAGGGAGAGGGTAGCCTACGGGTAAAATTAATCTTTTCGAATAATTGTTAAGCTATGCACGCGGCCGCTGATTTTGTGTTAATATGAATCAGGTGTGTTGAAGCAGAGAAACCCTCAAGCATACAAGGTAGCTAACTGGACGCCCAGGGCTGCCCACACTCGCTCTAAATGTTTAATGACGAGGCAAGGCCAAACCATAAAGGAGGAGAAAGGGGTGTGTATGGGGCATGACCAAATCCCATATACAGCTATTTTCGAGCAATGTCCCTGTGGGGAGATACAAAATAAATTTTATGTGAAGACACAAATCCTTATAAAACAGTCCCATGAGACTCAGAACTTGCACTTTATGTATTTGATGGATTTCTACCAGTGGAAGATGGTAGATTCCAATGTTTGACGTCGAATCGAAGTATGATTGTTAGCGTCAAACTTTGGTGACAGCGTTACCCTTGTCATTAAAAGCCAAATACAACATTGTGTTGTATTGTATGGGCTGTGATTATTTAAAGGTGTGATTATTTAAGTTTAATTAAGCAGTTGACGTTGTGGATTGACACGACATACGAGTTAAGAATATCATCGTAGCTGTTTGAAGTAGACCGCGAGTAACAGGTAAAATATTTGTTAATCCAAGCTAGTGTCCTTATACCCGCTATTTGAAAATCACACGTAGGTTTTTGAGATGACAGGTAATAGACATGCAAGGAAAAGCCAACATGAAGTGACGGCTTTTATAGTCTATGTTAACCAGAGCCGAAACTACAACTGCTATATCAGTAGTTATAGAGGACTTAAAAAAGCAACAGTGGACCTCTTTCGGGAAAGAAAAAAACTGATTAAAACAATACCCGGTTGAAATAAACCCAAATTACAAAACTTAAATCCTAACGTCAACATCTGCAAAAACGAGTCAAAACACAAGGCAGAAACGTTGAAAACGTTCAGTCTGTTGGTTATAATAAATTAATTAAATTTGATTAATTATTTACCTTGAATTTAAATGGCAATCTGTACACTTGACACATATTGAGAATTTATTAGACAAATGGGATTTGAGTGTGTGTGTGTGTGTGTGTGTAGGTGTGTGTGTGTGTGTGTGTGTGTGTGTGTGTGTGTGTGTGTGTGTG